CATTCTGATTTTCTGAAATTGGCCTTTCTGGAGAAGCATTCTACATAGCAGGTTGAAGGCCAGTACATGTTTAAAACTATGAGTCTAGTCCCTGTAAACTCTTTTTCTCCTCCTACAACTTACTGCTTTTAAGAGGCCAGGATGCCTTGCTGCAATGCTCCTTTGACTATTTAACCCCTTTCGAGAGCACACACATTTTCTCATCTCCATTTGCAGTTCCGCTTTATTGCTACAGGATTCAGACCTGAACAGGTGGGCTTCGGCAGTGCACAGGTGTGCACCCAACTGTCTTGGCACAAATTCACTCTCTCCCTGTACCCTAAACCTGTCCCAATTCGGCATTAAAATAGTACTTTTTCCTCAAAGTAAAGGAATCACCAAAAGGAAAATTCATTCAATGGGACTTTGCTGAGGTCCTCTTTCATTCCCATCCAAAAATCTATTTTAAAAAATCAATCCTAAAATGGAATGGATTTAACCTTGAAAGGACAGAAAAGCTAAGATAGCTGTCATCGTCTAGCGGCCAGTAGGTGTAGGTGGTGTGATGGTTAAGGCTCTGGATTCCCACATGGTTGATGCCGTTCAAGTTCTGGACCCGGCAGCTTGAAAACTCACACCAGGTGTGTGTTTCTGCATGCCCAAAATCCCTAGAGGAAAATGAGAGATAAAGGGATTGTGGCATGGCCATTGCCCTTGGAGAGTGATTTCTCACTTTGCCTCTCTCTGGCAAATTAAAACTTTAAAAAAAAAAAAAAAAGTTATTGTTGCCTTCTCTGGACCTGAACCATACTGTGATCATTTTCATTTTTTTTTTAAACTTTTTTTATTCTGGGGCCGGCAGGTGGCGTGGTGATTAAGGGCACTGGACTCCCACATAGCTGACCACGGTTCAAATCCCAGACCTGGCATCTTGCTTTCTCACTTTCTCTCTCTCTCTCTCTCTGGTCAAATTTAAATAAATTAATAAAATTAAATAATTCTTAAAAATTTTTATTGTTTATTTTTTTAAATATGATTTTTGGTTTACATATGTTCACTGTATATCTCTGTAGGCTATAGCATGGTATTTTAAAAGCATTCAAACAGTATAAAATAATGAAATCAAGGACATACACATATTCATTTTCTTCCACAATAAATGTTACATTATGTTGGACACATTTGCTATTAATGACAGTTCTACTAGTTCTTTTTTTTAATGCATATTAAATTGTCCTTTTCCTTTTTTTTTTCTTCAATTTTTGCTATAGGGTGCATGTACTTGCCAAAGAGAGACTGAGAGACACAGAGAGAGAGAGACAGAAAATGAGAAATCACCGTCCTTCCCTCCTAGATAGATCGCCATGCCACAATTCCTTCTCCTCCATTCTCCTCTTGGGATTTCTGGCATGCACATACACACACCTGGTTTGTTTTCCAAGCCACTGGGTATTGGACTCAACCACACAGCTGACCATGTAGGACCCAGCACCTTAACTTTCATGCCACCTGCCGGCTCCAAACTGTCCGTATTTTTTACTCTGCTGTGTTTATACTGTTATCATTTACTGTGTTATTGTCCCATAAGATGACCCATTTGTCCATCCACTCCCCCCCAGTGGAATATGAGCCTTTCTTTTCACATTTGTTCCCCAGCTCCAAGCAGGGAGACAGAGGTTCTAAAAACACTTGGATAAGCAATGTGTGAGAGGGAAAGGAATGCTTTCAGGACTGGTGTTCTCATCGTGGGAATGCTCTGCAGTCAGGCTGCCCGGAGACCATCTCGAATACATACTCCCACATGCTTGGCCTCACTCACCCACAGTCCTGCATTTGGGGGGTACAACTGCTCCAGAAAATTGTGCCCGTAACATCACTTGTGGGGCAGGACTAGTGTGATTATGTACCCCGAGTAAAGGGGGTACATTTTGCTGCTTATGGAAAGGCCCAGATGAACACTTTCTGGTTGGCTAGCCTAGTGTCTAGAAATACAGGGGCTGGCTAGTGGCATGGTGGTTAACGTGCTGGACTCCCACATGGCCGACCGCAGTTCAAATCCCAGACCCGGCGGCTTGCTTTCTTACTTTCCCTCTCTCTCACTTTCTGTCTGCCTCCCTCTGATCAAATTAAAATTTAAAAAATAATGATAATAATAAAGTAATTCTTTTAAAAAAAAGAAAAAATATAGAAACAAAATTGTAACAGTTTATAATGAGTTCGTTAAACTTTGATTAGGCTCCTAATGTGAAAGAGAAAAAATAAATAAACTCTAAAAGAATACAAAGAAAACAGAGCCAGCAGGCGACTTGGTAGTTGAGGGCTCTGGACTCCCACATGGCCAACTGTGGTTTGAGTCCTGGACCTGGTGGTGGCTTGCTGCTCTCTCTCTCTCTCTCTCTCTCTCTCTCTCTCTCGCACACACACACAC